CATAAGAATCTATCTCCCTCTGCCTTAAAACGGTTCAGGGACTGCTTTCACCGCCTTTTCAGGAAGAGAATTCCAGAATTTCAGTCCTCTGAGGAAAAAAAGCTCATTTAATCTCTGTTTAAAATTGACAACACCCTCATTTTAAAGCAGTGGACGTCAGTTCTAGATTCCCTCAGAAGAGGAGGTAGTCTTTCCAGACAACCCTCTCATTCTTATAAACCTTCTCTGAACTGCCTCCAAGGCATTTACATACTTCCATAAATAAAGTGAGCAACACTGCACAAAATGTGATCTCAACGGTGCCCTGTATAATTGAGCCATTGGAACAAGAGTGGGTCACTAAGCCTATTGAGCCATTCAATACAATTGTGGCTGATCGAACACTCACCCAATAACCCTGAATGCCATTGGTAATTAAAAATTGCTACCTTAAATATACTCAATGACTGAGCTTCCATTACCCTGTGTGAGAGAGAATTCCAAAGGTCCACATCTTTCTGAGTTAAAGAAAAAAATTCCACATCTCAGACTTACGTGGTATCCCCCTAATTTTGAAATTGTGCCCACTGTTTCTAGACTCCCCAACCAGGAGAAACATCATTCCTTCATCTGCTGAGATCTCTTCTCATCCTTTGAACCTGTAGACAATACAGGCCCAGTTTGCCCAGTCTCCCTCTCTAGGACAGTCCTGTCATCCTGGGAACAAGTCTGCTGAACATTCATTGCATTCCTTCTACAGCAATAATATCATTCCTGAGATAGGGAGATCAATTCTGCACATGGTACTGTAGGTGCTGTCTAACCCAGCTCCGATACAATTAAATTGAGACTTGAATGATCCATTTATTCCTACCCTCTTTTTGCTTCTAAAGAATAATTCTCCCTATTTCTGTATTGAATTCCCTTCATGATGAATAACAACATTCTATTAGCTTTCCTAGTTACTTAAAGGGCTCAGGACTCTCATTCAGTTATATCTTTCATCCTTTTTCTTCTTGAACTACTCAAAATGGCGCCAGGTTGTGGCGACTGTTTTTAGCTTTTCACTGTACGTTACTGGATTATTCACTGTAAAATGCAAGTGACAATAAATAAATAATTCATTCATACTTGCTGTACCTGTATGCTAACTTTTTGTGATTCATGCATGAGTACAACCAGATCGCCCTTGCTTCTCAAAGCTCTTGGCAGTTAGATTGTATGCTTAGTTTTATTCTTCCTGCCAAAATGAATGATTTCACATTCCCACATTATAATCCATTTTGCCACATTTTAGTCCACTCAGTTAACCTACCAATTTTTTTTAAGCTTCTTTATGTCCTCTTCAGAACTTAATTTCACAGTCTCTGTGATAGCAATACTCAGATTTTCCACCTCCAAACAGTTCTTCAATAACTTTCTCAAAAGTTTTCTTCAGTTTAGAATAAGGATGAAAATGGGGTACTTCCTGTTATGGATTCTTTATTGATCATTTCATTATTTACATATTAGGGTGATGAGGCATGCTTTTTAATCCACGTGCATTGCTTATTAAACATTTGCGTCTTACCTCATTTTGAGATCATACATGTGGATAAACCTGTTCTAGGTTATATGGTCTGCAGTTACAGATTACTGGAATTTATAGCATAATGTAGTGGGAAATACTGTACTAGATTCACCCCTTGGCATTGTGCTGTGCCACTTTGTTGGATGCTGTCCTCTTGGGCTTCTAATGTGTTTTATTAAAAAATTTGTTCATATGATATGGGTGTTGTTGTCAAGGTCAACACTTGTCACCCTAGTCATAAACAGGCCAGTAGGTAATGTTGGCAGATTTCCTTCCCTAAAGGGCACTCATGAACAAGGTAAATTTTTACTGATCAATGGTAGCTTTCAATTCCATTTTTTATTATGGATTGCATTTAAATTCTACCAGCTGCTGTAGCAGGATTTGATCCCATGTCTTTTGGGCCCTTGGATTAATAGTCTAGTGATATTTCTCCTGCACCACTGTCTCTGTGAATGTAACAATATGCTTTTTTTGAATCAGCCTTTAGAGCAGGTGGGAGTTGAACCCGCGTCTCTTGGTATAGAGGTAGGAACACCACCACTGTGCCAAAAGAGGGCCCGTCATGTGATAGCATATTATGTTTTGTTCGACCTATTTTTCTAATCAATTTGTTCAGAGATGTTATGACACTCCTCTGGAACAAGTGAGACTTGAAACCAGGTCTCCTGGTCCAGGGGATAGGGGTGCTACCACTGAGGCACAAAGCCCCTATGTGATAGCACAGGAGATTTAGACTTGTGAATTTCACCTGCATGATCCTTCCTGTGCCATATGTAATGCAGTGTACTTGTAGTCAATCTGATCTCTCTGCTACATGGAAAGGGGCTGGAATGCTGAATAGGACTACAGGTCTGTGTACATTATTTCACAAAGTCATTACAAACCTGAGAGGCATATTTTCTTAAGGGTTTCAGGCCAGGTAAAGTCAGCTATTTCTTTTTCTCCAGGGATATAATAGTTTTATAAGGAAGCAAGTATCAAAAGTTCCTGGTAGTTACCTCAAATTGTACAGAGGCCACTACTACATTTTCTGATGTAAATTTATATATATTTAAAAAAATGTTTCTTAGCTTCTGTCCAGTGGCCTAGAATACATATTTTTAAATCATATGGCTTTGAAATTACCACTTACTATTTTCCTCTCTGAAAAGCATTGGCAATCTAAGGCGAATACAGCAGTATTCCTACTGACCAGTGCACATTGGTGCAAATGCAACTTTTTTTAAAATCTATGATGATTTCGAAGTCTCTCAACTTTTATGGCAGAGGAGTCTACTCCTACTCCACCTAGGCCCACAGAACTCTTCCCAAGATGCTTTGGTCTTTACTTCCCTAACCCTAACCCTAACCTAACATTAGTAATCCCTTTTAAAAACTGCTGATTGGTTTTTTCAATACACTGCTCATGTTGATCTCGGAATTACAAGCCTGTTCCTACCTTAACCATATATTTGAGTAGCCTCCAATTATTAACAGCAGGAGGGTTTGCTGCTTATCAATTGACAACTGAACCTTCCTGAAAATTGCAATAACTGGACTTTGCTCATCAATGAGCAGGCCACCGTACTACTCAATGATTTTCAACTACTGATTGTTCATGTTTCAGTCAAGAAATGGGTGGCTGCCAATTAAAATTTGTCCCCTACGTGTTTCTTATCAAATTGTGCGCAGGAAGACAAAAAAACACGACAAGAAGCAAGGCTGTGATGGTGTTGCATTTAAAATCCACAGAACTCCTTCATAAAGTCTTCACAGACCCCTAGATTGCTTACTACCTTAGACCTTCATTTGGTTGCATTCCAAGCCAATTTTAGAGGTTAGAAGTTCACTTGTTCACTATATGACTATCCAATAGGAATGAATTTGGATGGTAATCCAGTGTTCTGAGTGGTGAATGAGGTTGCCCTTTATAAATATATATGATACTAGCCCCATTGCTAATTCCTGCTGAACTCCTGATGTTTGGTTCACTTTTCACCAATTTGTTTTGTCATCTCAACAGTTGGCTTGATTTTTGATCCATTTCTTTTTCAACTGCAGCCATATTGACTTGAATAATAAAATGCCGCATTAAATGATTACAACTTATCTGGCTACAATCTAGTACAAGTAGTTCTCAAAATTCTCCTAATAAAAATCCCACAGTTGCATTTCTACCTCTTTCAATTTAGTATCTGCAATAAATTATTTAATGCTTCGAAATGACTTGTGGATGCTCGAAAGATTTGTCACCGATGTTGGTATTATTAATGAATCTGCTGTATCTACAGTATATATTGCAGAAAGATTATTTAATACAAGCTTATTTAAATCTGTTGTACAGAGTTATTACTTCCCATGTTTCATAATACATAGCCACCAGGATTTTATTTTCAGTAATATATCTTGCATTGTGGAAGGTTTATTATTAGCGGTAAAATGTATTCAAAAATATATGCCATTGTTCACTTACATTTTATTTTGTACAAAGAGGAATTATGGTATAGTAAAAATATTTATCTTCACCTACGATTCCCTGCTGAGTTCAACCAATTTTACTTGCTGACTCCCTCAAAATCCATCTGCTGAGTTTATTACACACTTGGGACTGCACTCTGGTTATTAGCGTAGAAAATGTATTCTGGAAATTTCCAGGTCATTTGTATTTTCCTTTGTAGAACAAAAAGCTTAAGAACTAGCTTTCAGCTTGCAAACAAAAGATCAGTTTTAAGCAAAATCAAATGTTGGATCTAAGTTGTGTGTCTCAACCTTCCGAAAATTGGACACTGTAAACAGGTAACTGAAGCAAACAGTCCATTTAATGTCACCTTGCCAAAGAAACTAGTGTAATTCATTTTGGCATTCAATTTATTGATGTGAAATAGCATATACAAATAGTATTAGTTAAACGGTATAAATGGCTTGTATTCGCTGGAATTTAGAAGAATGAGGGGGGTACCTCATTAAACATATAAAATCCTGACAGGACTGGAAGCTAGATGCAGGAAGAATGTTCCCGATGTTGGGGAAGTCCAGAACTGGGGGTCACAGTCTAAGGATAAGGGCTAAGCCATTCAGAACTGAGATGAGGAAGAATTTCTTCACTGAGAGTTGTGAACCTATGGAATTCTCTCCCACACAAAGTTATTGGGGCCAGTTCATTAGATATATTCAAGAGGGAGCTGGACATGGCCCTTGTGGCTAAAGGGATCAAGGGGTATGGGGAAAGGGCGGGAATGGGATACTGAGATTGCATGATCAGCCATGATTATATGGAAAGATGGTGCAGGCTCAAAGGGCTGAATGGCCTACTCCTGCACCTGTTTTCTATGTTTCTGACATACTATACTGTATATTCTTGAAATATATTGTCAAATACTTCCAGAGAGAGTCTGGAGGATGGTTTTGCATGGTGTACACTTTTAGTCACAGTGTCTGAATTTACATGTTTTTGTCTTTTCAAATGTAGCCTTCAAGCATTTCTAAGATTGACAGTCAGACACAAGGACAAATGCTCAGTAAAAGTGTGAGATGGGGACAAACTCCTATCAATCAGTCAACTCCCTGGGACACAGATGAGCCTCCATCTAAACAAATGAGAGAAATAGAAAATGCCGGTATGTGATAATCTTTTTTCTTAAACCCAAGAGAAAGTACAAATTTCTCTTTTTTTAATCAAGTAATTGAGTAGGTCTCTCAAGAGTACAAAACAATAAGCAGATCCTGTGTTGATTAAATAGCAAAGCTGCAGGCTGAGAACATTTTTAATCAAACCACAGTGCGATTTATTGCCATAACATTCTGAGCAAGAAAATGGCTGAGGCTGTTCAATTCAAAGTTATATAAAATGCTCAAAGCTGAAGGTTTCAATTAAATCAACAGGTACAGTCGGAATTAAGCATTACATTTAATAAAGGAATGTTCTCAAATTGGACGCTAACCCAAACATGATTTATTTGGGTGCTGATTAGCGTTTGCATTTTTTTGCCTCTAATTTATAATTAGAAAGAGTCTTCTTACTTCCAGGATCCATCTTCCAATTTATGGCACCCACGCAGTAAATAAACAATGTAGGCAGAAGTTTCCAATTTTTATTTAGTGCAATTTGTCAGAACAGCCGAGCCAAAGTATGTAATTTTAAATGTCAATTATGTTCAGTACAGCAAAGTAAGAAGGTTTGGGTGAGGTCACTGTGCTCATATCATGGAACACATGGACTTAGAAGAAGGTCCTGAGAGAAGAGAAGAGATAATCTGGCTAAGATTCTTAGACATGTGTGACAATACTATGGATTTAAGAGGTGTACTTTGTCTTTTTGTTGAGGTTTTTTTTATTCATTCACGGGATGAGGGCATAGCTGGCCAGGCAGCATTTATCGCCCATCCCTAATTGCCCAGAGGGCAGTTTAGAGTCAGCCACGTTGCTGTGGGTCTGGAACCACATGTAGGCCAGACCAAGTAAGGATAGCAGTTTCCTTCCCTAAAGGATATTAATGAACCAGATGGGTTTTTCCGACAATTGACCAATGGGTTCATGGTCATCATTAGATTCTCAATTCCAGATATTTTATTGAATTCAGATTCTACCATCTGCCCTGGCGGGATTCAAACCTGGTCCCTAGAACGTTATCTGGTTCTCTGGATTAACAGTCCAGAGATAATACCACTAGGCCATTACCTCCCCTTGGAAGGTAATGAGATGTCTATTGAAAACTCATAAAGTAAACAGATTGTGAGGCCTTGTTTTTTTTTAAGTTGGAACAATAGAAGCAGCATGAATGAGTTTGGTCAAGCTTCCAAAGAACCAGGATTTTTAGTTTTAGCTTTCAGCGGTTGCTGTTGGGGTCTTGAAGAAGTGGAAGCTATTTTACCATCTCTCAGTTACAGCCAAAATCTGGGGGTTCTGTGCCTGCTATAGGAGTCGCGTATGAGACAATCAGTTTTCTGAATTTGCTTTTTGCCAAGGGTGTGTTTATGGGATGTTACTATATTCAAACAGTTAATTAGTGGTAGTTAATAATCTATTATTCTGTTTGGTTTTCCAATAGAGTTGTTATACCAATTTCTTCATTCCTTTTGTTGTATTTTAACTATAGTGGATGAATAAAATGTGTTTTGCTTTAAGTCTGGTAGTTTGACCAATCAGATTGTATCCGGAACGAAATGCCTGGCACTTGCCTTTAAAATAAGAAAAAATTAGAGTGTAGGCTATCTTCTTAATGTATTTTGAGGGGATTTGGTCTGGTCAATAATACAAGCTAGTCTGAAACAACTGTTGGCTCTACAATTGAAGGTGGAGCAGAGAAAAGGGATAATAGATTAAGTAGGACAGGAAAGGGACATGTGGCACTTAAGTTTAGAAAAAAGCAGGAGTGACTTCTGTTCATATGTTGGCAGGCAGGTTGGAGAATGGGTAAGTCAGTGGAGGTTGCAAAACAGAAATGGCAGAGAAACGAGACATACATTGGGGCACGGTAGAGTTGTGGTTGAGTTGCAGTCCTTCAAGGGGAAACCTCGTAGACCAGCAAGGTCAACTGTAGAAAATGTGAAAGTGATTATATTCTACATTTTTGAATATTACACATTTGAACAAAGTTCTTGAATGACAAGATTTTAAGGAAAGTGTTCAGACCTCATTCATGTACAAAAAAAAAATAAGCAGCTTTAAAAGAAAAGTATTACTTGGCAATTTTTCTATCCTCTGGATGCTCCAAAATGCTTTATGCCTGATAAATTACTTCTGAAGTAGAACCATTGCTGTATTATAGGCGAACACAGCAGGCCATTTTTCTGCACAGCAAGGTCATGCACTGTTACTTTTTTAATATGTGGCTCGTGAAATTCCAGCCAGCAAAAATATTCCTAGTGGTAAGATCTGAGGGTTTCAAAACATTTTAGACGTGGCTGTCTGCAGCAATGTAACGTGCCTCAGTCTGGTTCAGAGGGATAAATTGTTCCTGAAAATTTGAAATGATCACCCCGTTGTAGCCAATCTATCCTGTAAAGTCAACCACGTCTAGAAACCTACCCCAGGACGTCCTTGTGAGCTTGTACGTCAATAGAGCTCCCCAGAATTTTCAAGCCTACCTGGTGAACTGCATTTTTCTCGCCACATTTCAGCCAAATGAAATTGATGCTGACATTGATTTGGGCATCTTAGTTTTTTTTTAACCAGATATTCATTCATGGGATGAGGGCATCCCTGGCTTTATTGCCCATCCCAGAGGGCAGCTAAGAGTAAACCACATTGCTGTGGGTCTAGAGTCACATCTAGGTAAGGACAGGTCCTAAAGGACATTAATGAACCAGTGGGTTTATCCAACAATCGGCAATCATGGTCATCATCTTAGTTCCAGATTTTTATTGAATTCAAATCCCACCATCTGCTACGGTGGGATTCAAACCCAGGCCACCAGAACATGACCTGGGTCTCTGAGTTAACAGTCTGGTGATAATACCATTAGGCAATTGCCTCCAATTAGTGTCATTGTTGGGTGTGTGTTCTGGTCGCTTTGCTCATTTGGCGAAGGAGCTGAGATGCTGAACTTCTCTGTCATTGTGTCTCTCATATTCTGCAAGAACATCATTTCAAATCTACTTCCATACCGTTCTCCAGAAAAAGGGACTAAAATAAATGTTCCTCTTTTTTTTCCAATTTGTTTTCCACGGTACGTTAAGCGCACTTGTACAAGATGTGAATCAACAGGTTGTCCATCATGAAGGAATTCTTCCCAGCTTCACGGTTCATTTATTTTTGCTACTTTTCTGTTTTAGATTGTTTTCAGCACTATCTTTACAAATGATGACAAATAAACACAAACAAGACGTGCTAAGAATCTTAGAGGGGACAAGAGGCAGAGGCTATTCTCCTGTTCTGGTATCCACAATCCCATGCACAGCTAACTGACTGAAAAAGCTACTTCCACAGGCTCTGAGTTAACAAGGTAACACTCACAGAGCAGTGGCAAGCTCAGTCACTGAGGACGTTGTTGCCATGTCACCAACCAGCTCCTTCAAAGCTGTAACTTTGCCTCCTTTCAAACTCCCAGGGGGCCCTATGCAGAATCACTTTGGCATGCTGGATACATCTGATGAAGATAGTAATATCGCATTGTTCAGCAAGACTAGCCTTAATCTTTCCTTCCCCACTGAATAACAACAGCAGCCTCGGGATCTGTTCGGTAAGCCGCATGGCAGAATTTCCAAGGCTACAGCGGTGTATTGATGGAACTGATGCATAGTCTTAATGTAAAACAAATGTCAATACAAACAGAAAGAGCTTCTAGGCAAGGAGGCATACTTTTAAGGTGAGAGGAGAAAGATTTAAAAAAGATGTGAGGGACAGTTTATTTTTCCACAGAGGGTGGTTCACTTGTGGAATGAATTTCCTGAGGAAGTGGTGGATGTGTGTACAATTACAATGTTTAAAAGACATTTGGATGAGTACATGAATAGGAAAGGTTTGGAGCGGTATGGGTCAGGAGCAGGCAGTTGAGACTAGTTTAGTTTGGGATTATGGTCAGCATGGACTGGTTGGACCGAAGGGTCAGATTCTGTGCTGTATGACTCCGTGACTCTGTCCCAACTGTGTGCAACTAGTCATTGATCACCAATATTTTGATAAGTCCTATATCTTAGTAGCAGTCACCTTGCTTTCATTTTAAAATATTCACCAGTGATTGCCTTCAGTTTGAAGTAAGCATAACTGTAACAGGGACCAAAGCCATGTACCATAACCATATACTAGCAGCAGCACTGTAACTAGACAGTTACAGTGAGATTTGTGCTACTATCAAGGTCAATGTAGAACTGGTATCATGAAGCAGCATTGCAAATGCCACGGTAGATACAAATACATGCATTAACAGCAGGAGTACGCCATTTAGCCCGTCAAGCCTGCTCTGCTATTCAGTAAAATCTTGGCTGATCTAATTGTAAACTCTAATCAGCATTCCAACTCATTTTCCTTCTGGCTGCCCATACCTCCAAGGTTCCTGTGTGGCAGTGACATCCGAAACTGAAATGCTGACACTGGTGGCTGGAACCTTTGCGCACGCAGCCATGTAGCATAGAGGGAACATGTACCTCTAATCCACATTCTTGATGACAGCTGATAACGTTTCACCCTCTTGTTTAACAATAAACTGTCCATTTTGGTCTTAAAAATATTCAAGTCTCTGCTTCCATCACTGAAATAACTGCACAGAGACCGGTATCCCATCTCCAACTCACTCTTTATTTACATGTGCACAGTACATAGGCTCTGACCAGCTAGCTCACAGCCAGTCCCGAGAATGAGGAGATTCTCTGAATCTCCTGTTTACATCTGTCAGCCAGGGCTCCCTGATTGGCCCAGGTTAACAACCCTAATCAGGGATCTCATACTCAATGAGACCCACCTGATCAACCTCAATACATTTACTAGAACCACCCTTTCAGGAAGATAGTTTCAAAAATTCATGACCCTCTGAAAGAAGATATTTCACCTAAACTCTTTTTAAATGGGGGATCCCTGACTTTTAAAAAGTGACTCCTAGTTCTGATTTCGCCAATAAGAAGAAACATCTCTTCACATTTGTCCTGGTGCGTGAGCATTCTGTATGTCAGAACTCTCCGTG